TAGTTTCTTCACCTATAAAAAGAGAAGAATAGTAACTCCTATCTAAGAGAGTTGTTAGGATTAAAAGAAATGCTTTGACACAGAAGATTGCCTGACAGTGCGGTGAGCACTTAGTAGATGTTAGTTACCACTGTTAATCATAACTGTCCTCTTTTTCCTCCTCCTACTTGGTCACTAAGATACGTCAGTTTTTCTTTTTAGACTCTAGTGCATTGATTTCTCATTTCCCACTGACACTGACACCATTCTAGACCATGACATTACTACCTCAAACCACAGTTTCCAAGAGAGCTTCATGTAGCACTTCTGTCCCTCATGTCCTTTGTGCTTGTGTTTTTCAGTATAGGATAACAGTTTCACATGGTCACTTCCCTGCGCAAGAGCATACATCAGTTTTTCAGAAACTTGTTTTATCAAGTCCAGACTTGATAATGAGTCAGAGTCTCATTCTGTCTTAGTACTACTCTCTTATTGCATTCAGGCCAATTTCATGTTTTCTCATTTGCATCATACATTCGGACATTTGCTTATGTTTTTCCTTCAGCCTTTATTCCCTTCTTGCATGCCCTTACACTTCTTCTCTTACTATTTCTGTCCTACCTGTTCTTCAAGAATCTAGTGTTTCTAAGAAGTCTGGCATTTAAGAACCCACACACTTAAAGCGAATTAACGTATGACAAAGGAGGCAAGATTATACAATGGAGGAAAGACAGCCTTTTTAATAAATGCTGCTGGGAAAACTGGGCAGCTACGTGTAAAAAAGTGAAACCATTCTTTAACTCTGTACATAAAAATAAGCTCAAAATGGAATAAAGGCCTAAATGTGAGACCAGACACTATAAAACTCCTAGAGGAAAATATAGGCAGAATACTCTCTGACATAAATTGCAGCAATCTCTTTTTCAATCGATCTCCCAGAGTAATGGAAATAAAAGAAATAAACAAACAAATGGGACCTATTTAAATTCAAAAGCTTTTGCACTGCAAAGGAGACCATAAACAATACGAAAAGACAGCCCACAGAATGGGAGAAAATATTTGCAAATGATTTGACTGACAAGGGATTAGTCTCCAAAATCTACAAGTAGTTTATGCGCCTCAATATCATCAAAACACACAGCCTAATCAAAAAAACGGCAGAAGACCTAAATAGACATTTCTCCAAAGAAGACATACAGATGGCCAAGAGGTACATGAAAAGATGTTCAGTTGGTAGAAGGGATAGTTAGGAAGTTTGGGGTTAGCATGTACACACTGCTATATTTAAAATGGATAGCCAGCAAGGACCTACTGTATAGCACACGCGACTCTGCTCAGTGTCATGTGGCAGCTTGGATAGGCGGGGAGTTTGGGGGAGAATGGATACATGTATACGTATGGCTGAGTCATTTTCCTGTGCATCTGAAACATCACAACATTGTTAATCGGCTATGTTGTTGTTTAATCGCTGAGTTGTGCTAAAAAGTTAAAAAATATATTTTAAAAAAAGTACTAAGCTTGAGTAGTAACAGCATTGGTAAAACTGGGAGAGACTCAGAAAGACAGCTTGAGTTAGGGATTGGAGCATAGATTGGGGTCCAGGGCCTTTGAATGCACGAAGAGCACGTAGTAACTGAAGGTCTGAGAAGCAGATCTAAGGAGAAAAGATCAGTTTCAGATATAAGAATTGAGAGGTGGAGGAATGTTAAGTGAGTGACAACTAAGAGCAAAGCAGTGTTGAAAATCTGAATGTCATTCACGTTTGAGACAGATCAGGACAGGTCCGGATGGATCAGATGAATTTTAAGGTCCACATGGTAGGGCAAGACAGTGTATTTCTGAACTGATTGGAAGGAGTCAGTAATGTTAAGATGAGGAACAGGTGTTAAGAATCTGAACCAGTTGGTATTGGTGTCTTGGGCATTGAAAGATGGGGGTTGTAATTGGATCAAATAGAGCCCCTGGTTAGTCTAGAGTATCAAGATTAGTACAGGATGACAGCAAAACTGAGTTTGCTGAGCCACAGGACAATTTATATTACCTTCTGGCTAAGATTAGAACTGGGTTGTGAGAATATTGGTATGTGGAGGCAGCTTGATAGTCTCCCTTGACAGAGATGTGAGAATGGAGTGACCACCATTAATCTGATTAGTAAAGCCTTCAGTGATTACAGTGTGCTTAGCATGTGTCCCATGTTACTTTAGTCCTAATTAAGGAAGCACATTGCTATCTTGTATGACTGTGATTGACTTATGTGACTCTCTTTTTCTGTGTTTAGTTAAGATGAGTACCATTTTTAAAATAGCTCTATTGGAGTATGATTAACATTCAGCTGCATATAAAGTGTATAGTTTTATATATAAGTTTGAAATATGTATATACCTGTGAAATCATTACCACAGTTAAGACAGTGAACCTACTCCTCATCTTCAGAAGTTTCCTTGTGCCTTCTTTACCTCTCTGCCCTTCTCCTCACCCTCCTACATCCACTGATTGCCTTTCCGTCACTGTGGTTTTTATTTTTTAGAATTATTTACTTTTGTTTTTTAATTTAAGATAGCTCATTTACAGTGTTGTGTCAGTCTCTGCTCTGCAGAGTGACTCAGTTTTACACACACATATATGTGTATATTCTTTTTTAAAATTAAACATTTTTAATTATAGAATTATTTAAATGGAATCATATAGTGTGAAGCTTTTTGTCTGTCTTCTCTCACTCAGCATATTTATTTTGCTTTATTTTGCCATTCCTTTTTTTAAGCATAATTATTTTGAGTGTGTCAATAGTTTGTTCCTTTTTATTGCTGAAAAGTTACTTTGTTGTATGGATATTTTGAAATTTGTTTATCAGTTCACCTTTTGAGGGATGGTTGACTGTTTCTGTTTTTGGCTATTGCAAATAAAAATGGGGTGCATATTGGAGTATAAATGTTTGTGTGCACATAATGCTTTTTTTTTTTTTTAGGAGTGGAATAGCTGGTAGGAGTTATATGGCAGAAGTTTGCTTAGCTGTTTGTTTGTTTGTTTTTTTTTTAAGAAATTGCCAAACCATTTTTTCCAGAGTAGTTGTACCATTTTGCATCTCCACAAGTAGAGGCCAGTCAGTTGTGCATCCTTGCCTCACTTGGTGTGGTCACTCACTTTACTGTCGCTACTCTAGGGGGTGCCGTGGGGCTCGTGGCTTTAACCTGCCACTCCTTGCGCAGAGCCGTCTCTTGTGTGCCTTTTTGCCGTCCCAGGTGTTCTTTTTGAAATGATCTGTTCACATATTTTTCTACTTAAAAATTAAAAAAATCATAATAAAATATGCGTAACATAAAATTTACCATTGTAAGGATTTTTAACCATTTGTATAGTAGTTTTAAGTGCATTCACATTATTGTGCAGCCATTCTTCAGAATTCTTTTTTGTCTTGTAAAATAGTTACCTGTGTCTTTTTAAAGCATTAGGTTGTTTTGAAATTTCTTTGTATATCAAATACAAATATTTTATCAGATATTTGCTTTTTCTTTATACATTTAGATATAAATCCATTATCAGATTTATGCTTTACAAATATTTTCCCCCAGTCTGTGTTTTGTCTTCTCAGTTTACTGTGCATCTTGAAATTGGCCATGATGCGAATGATTTACTCCACATTAATAGGCAGATTGCTACAAATCAGGACTTTATTTTTTGTTGATTATATGTCTATACTCAAGAAAAGAAATGGGGAAAGGTTAATAATGCAGGTTAAATTTTAATTATGTTATGTCTATAAGCTTTACAGTTGTGACTAGCACAAAGAAATGAGGAAGGAAATATGCTTTCCAGTATTTGAAAAACTACTGTCTAATAAACAAAGACATTTTTCAAGTTGTTGAATGAGTGAAATTCAGACATATGTCTTCATTGTTTCACCCTTGTCATTTGCAGTCATTATTTGGCTAATGATTAAAGAGGTCAGCTAAAATCAGGGAAAGCATTCTGGGACAGTCAATTGCCTGTGAGGATATTACATTGCAGTAAAGGATATTACATATTTTTTCATTGTTTGTAAATTGTGTGATATATATCTTTTTATTTCAGTAAAATTTATAATAAGCTTCTGTACATGTATATACTTTTTTTTTCCTGTAGAGCCATTTGTTAAACATGTACTGGCCACACACTAGAAGCATTAAAGAAAATATTTCTAGACTCACATAACTTGAGTCAAGAAAGAAAATTGAAGTTCTGAAACGAAGTCATTGTGTGGGTGATCAGAGAACCAATGTAAGCTAAGACCAGAGGGTGAGAAGGATAGAATGCATAATAGTGAGAGAAAATGAAAGGGCATAATACATAAAAGGCAAGGTCAGTTCTCTTACCTCTACATATGCAGAGGGACAAGAGCTGTTTCTTATAGGGTATTTGTTTTGCTCTGATTTGACTTGCTTTTGATCTTACCGTTTTTGTGTATGTGATAGTCTGTTGATGGTATTGAACAGGAATGTTAAAAACTCATATATTATTATTAGTGTTACATTGCGTGTTAAGTCGCTTCAGTTGTGTCCAACTTTTTGTGACCTTGTGGACTATAGCCTGCCAGGCTCCTCTCTCCCTGGGATTCTCCAGGAGAGAATACTGGAGTGGGTTGCAGTGCCCTTCTCCAGGGGATCCCAACCCACGGATTGGACCTGAGTCTCTTTCATCTCCTGCATTAGCAGTCGGATTCTTTAGCACTGACTCCACCTGGGAAGCCCCTTACTGTTACATTAGCAACTTCAAATAAGCCTAGAAAATTTCAAATCTAATTCTCCTTCAGATCAGAAAGAAAAATTACAAAACACTTTTTAACATTTAAAATTGGAACACAGAACAATGATGTGTTCCCTGTGCTATTCTAGAAGTTGCATCATTCCCTACATTGCTTTTTAATCTATACACATAATTCTGTTATGTTTACCATAATTACTATATTTCTTTCAGAAGTTATTTTTCTCCCAGAATGATTTGCTTTTGAATCTGATCATTAAGTTAAACATTTTTTTGTTTTGTAGCCATGCAGGGTATACGTACTGTGGGTCTTGTGCTGCTCATGCTTACAAACAAGTGGATCCATCTATTACGTAAGTAATATAGCTAGATTCCATTTTGATTAGGTGATTGGAGATTATATCATACTTGCTTTGTCACTGAAGTAATTTGTTTTACATATTTATTATATATTTGATTTCATTAAGAATTTGACTTTTTATCAATTTGATTATAACATATAGGTTATAAAAAGCTTTAATACTGTTTTTCATTATATGAACTTTTGGTTATTACCTTCCCTTTGATGGTAAAATATTTAGTTCTGGAAATGTTAGATGGTTAACACACTATTGTGATTTTGTAAGAAATATATATTTGGTCATTTAGATGATCATAATATATTTCACATATGTATTTAGTCTTCTTCTATAGTTCTCCAAACTGTTGAACTTTCCTAAGTGGTGACATTGACAAAAAAGATTTCTTGTATGTTAATGAAGTGACTTTTGGACCCCACCTAAGAATGGGGACTGGTTGCCAGAGTATTCAACCTGTGTTTAGAAGGTTGGAGTTTTCATTCCCTCTTCCTGACCTCCTCTGGGGAGGGGAGAGGGCCTGGAGGTTGAATCAATCACTATCTTGATTAAAACCCCCAAAGGGCAGGCTTTGGAGAGCTTCTGGCTTGGTGAACGTGTGGAGATTTAGGGAGAATGACCTGCCTGGAGAGGGCATGGAAATTCCTGGCTCTTTCCCCTTACCTTGCCCTTTGCATCTCTTCTATCTGGCTGTTACTGAGTTACATCTTTCTATAATAAACCAATGATCTAGTAAGTGAAACGTTTTTCTGAGTTTTGTAAGCCGCTCTAGCAAATAAATTGAACCCAAGGAGGGGGTCATGGGAACCTTTGACTTGTTATCAGTCTGTCAGAAGTACAGGCAATAACCTGGACTTACGATTGGCATCTGAATTGAAATTCAGGGAGGTGGTCGTTGGAATCGCTAATCTGTAAAGCCTAAGTGACAGCCTGGGCTTGTGACTGGCATCTGAGGTGGGAGATGGCTGTGGGGACATTCTTGTAGGACTGAACCCTTAACCTGTGGAATCTGATGTTGTCTCAAGGTAGATACGTCAGAACTGAGTGTGCCCCTCTCCTGCCCTCATGAATGCACTCAGTGGGAGTGGGTCCAGGAACATTACCAGTTAAATAGTTTGCTTTTTAAAATTTTCGTTGAAAACCTGAACACTTTTTAAAGAAAAATCCAAAGCCCATTGTTCTATTTTAATCACTTTATAATTGAAAATTTTTTATTGTACTTGTTAAATTCTGGTTAATGAATGAAGAATAATTTCTCATTGACAGGAAAAGGTATCTGAATTATTTTAGAATCTGACAGTGAATTTAATATGGTGTTTGAAGTATACTATCTCATAATAATTTAATGACAGCTCTGAAATTAGCTTAAAAAAATCTTCCTGGCAAATTGAGGCTGAGTCATATAGTACTCTATAAAATGAAAAACTTGTGAACTTTAAAAAGCTTAGTATACCACTCTCTAAAATAAGAAACTTGTGAAATTTCAAAAATTTCTGCTGGAAACTTTTAATTCTGTCAGATGTTGATTGATTGGTTAGACCTGTACTAGCATAGATGAAGTATAATCATTTGTGGTGAGATGTAGAAGTAACTCACAGTAGCCATGAGTTTAAAAAGAGAATCTCGTCCTCAGCCTACTTCTTTGCCTTTGAGTAGTAGTTTGTTCAAATTATTAAAAAAGCTGCTCTCTTTGGTTTTTATGTAGTATGTTTGTCCTGCACTTGTTATCAGGCCTTTATTGAAAGTTATTTTTAGTAAATTTTTAATAATAAATAGACTATAATATTGCCAGATGATTTGAGGAGCATCTTTAACAGATATTTCATAATACATATTTAATGTATAACTTTAACTTGTTTCATGAATAAGAGTGAAGTAGAAATTAGATTGTAAAGCTTTTTAGAAACATCCTTTATTTGACCCTGGTCTGTGAACCATCTATAATCAAGGCAAGTTCATATAACAGCTTTTTTCAAACCTTTTTCTGTTTGGCAGAATTTTTTTGATGATGTACTGAAAGGGTACCCCGGAATTAATTTGACCTAGAAGTACATAGAGAGTGTATATTGATATAAGTGGAAATTGTGTGTTAAATAAGTTGACGGACAGTAAGAATGGAAGGGGAAAAATGGTAAAAGGGAAAGAGAGTCAAGGACTGAGAAGGTGATGGTAAAGGTGATCAGTAAAAAGAAAGACAAATGATGGATGATGTGAGTGATCACCTTATTCTTGTAATTAGTATATTGAAATTGAATTCTGAATAAATAAATTTGAAGGTCTGAGTGTTATAATCATTGACAGTTATAGTTGTGTTCTCTTGAAAGTGGCCCTCCCTGAGATTTGCAGTGTCTTCAGAGTCCTTTGAGAAAATAGAGAACACATGCTTTGGGGAATAATAAGTATAGAGAAAAAAATAACAGTCCAAGAGAGAAGGTTGAACTTGATACCACTAGCTTCGATTCTTACTTTCCCATTCTCTACATGTCAACCAGGATCATCTTTTGTGTGTAGGATTTGAATGGATCTTTTACCTTTGCTTGATTTTTAGATATCTTACATGAACATTTAGAAAATACTTGTTCATTGAGTTAGGCAGGTCTTTCAAATGTTGACATTTCATCATACAATGTAAAAAAAAAATCACATTTGTTAGTATCACCATCAATTTCATTAGAAATATTTTTAATTATTGAGAAGCTGTCAATCTCACAGTGATACAAGTTTTGCAAAAGTCCTAACTTTCACTTAAAAGTTTCATTTTTGTCATTGGCAACAAATAAGTCAAATGTTTTCTAGGAAGTGTCAGGCTCATTTGGTTTGTTTTCTAGAAAATTTCTGCCAGTTAGCTAAGTTGGAACAACCACAATTTCTCTGTAGTCATTTTTCAAACTAAAAATTGTGTTCCATGGGGAAAATGTCTACTTCAGCTCACAACTCAAAAGCACACAAATGCTTTTTCCTTGAGACATGCTTCTGTATGTTGCAGAGGTGCTATGTGCATTTATTACCACAAATTGAATGCATTTTGTCATACAGCATATTTTAATAAAACTGTATTCAGAGTTCAGCATTTAATGAAATTAAACGAAACAGGCTTTAAAAAAACAGCATGGGTGAAGGTGAAGAATACATAACTACTAGTACATTTTTATTCCATTATCTTTATTGTAGCCCGTAGTTTACACAGTCCCACTTTTGTACCACAAGTGCAAATATTAACACATTGCAAAGGCAGATAACTTCTTTGTATTATTATGAAAATAGTTTTGATTTTGTGAACTTCTTGAAAGGGTATTGAGGAATCCACAGTTCACACTTTGAGAACTGCTATAATTCAAGGTGATTGGATTTATATTGTGGATAAGATATTGGAGACAGCATCTCTGGGGAGATGATCTTTAAGCCAGCAAAAAGCCAGCCATGTGAAAAAGCTTTGAGATAGGCAAAGATATCCTTGTCATCAGGGCACTGCAAAGAAGACCAGTGTGCATAAAGTACTGTGATCTAAGTGGGGGAGAATCACACTGAAGGGACTGGTTCATTTGAGACTTTAGAACCTGTTTTAAGGATTTTGGGTTTTATCCTCTGACCATGAAAAACCTTTGAAAGATGTTTTAAGCAGGAGAGTGATATGATCTGATTCATATTTTAGAAGGAGTACTCTGGCTGTTTAAGGAATTTTTAAAATGATACATTAAGTTCTTTCCCATATTTATAGTTGTAAAGTCTTTTCCTATTACAACTTTTAAAAACTGAAACTCAGATTGTTACTTAGATAGTGACTTGATTTTGATTCGTATCTTTCAGAAAACCTTGCAGGACAGAAAAAGAGAGCCAAAGGAATCTTCTTTGGGGCCACATGACATTTTATTCTTCAGTTAAAATATCTCCACTTACTATGAAAAATTAAAAAATTATTTAGTATAAATAGTTGACTACTTATGAGAACAGGCACTTAGGTGACTCATGTGTTGAGTGCACAGACTACCCTACTCTCTTAGTAACTCCACAAATGTTGATTCTCTGGAGGTATTCTATGTAAACTACATTATTTCTGAAAGAATGCCTAGTGATTTTTTTCCTATTTTTTCATATTAAAAATTTATTTTGTATGTATGGTAACAGTGATTGATTATATGCGGATATTTTAAAAGTAACCCCTTTATGACAAAGCACTTTGTAATTAATTAAAGGGAGAGAAAGTGGCGTTACTTTCAATGCCTGTATTATCCATTTCTCTCCAAAATATGTGTATGGCTTAGGTGTTTATGGACCTAGCGATCTGGGGGGAAGAAAGAGAAAAGATGTTATTTTTTACTTATGCTACTAATTGTCTTTTAGCATGTAGCTAACACAGAGATTCAGTCTGAGGCTAGTGCTCATTAGGTGTGTACTTTGGTTTTCCTTCTTTTCAACAATACCTAGCCTTTTTTGGTTTGTTTTTTGGTATATCACTTTTAAGGGTTTTGTATTGATGGGACTTAAATCTCTTTTTTCTCCTGGTATCTCTCTTAACTAAATGCAGAACTTCACTATGTTGCTTTTGGGTGAGTTTCAACCCTTGGGGTACCCAGCTGGATAATTCAGACTGACGGGAGCTCTTTTCCGCCCTAGGCTTTATCTTTTCATCTCGGTTGGGTCTGCTGGAAACCCAAGCAAGGTGAATAGCCACGTATTAGATTAGAGGAAGCAGTTAGGCTTTCTGACCTCGGGTCTTTATTTCTGAAATAATACTCAAATTTTAGTCTCTGTCAGAAGAACCTTGTTACACTTACCTATGAAATATATCTGTGCCCCAATTGATATTATAAAAGTCATTTCATGTTTTAATTATCCTGAATTTCCAAGAGTGCTCTGATTTTAAGTATTCTAGTCCTCTTTTCTTAGAAATACATTCCTCAATCATAAACATGCTTTTCTTTTCTTACTTAATTCTTAATTCATACTGGGTTGGCCAAAAAGTTTGTTAGAGTTTCCTGCTTACATCCTGTGGAAAAACCCGAAGGAATTTTTTTGCCACCCCACTATAGTACCTATCCTTAGGCAAGTTTCCTAAACACTCAGATATACCATTATTTATGTCCCACATTAGACTTTAATTTTAAAAAGTGTGGTGTTATTTATATGCCATTAAGTTATGAGAACATAGTGGTATCTTTTTGTTCATTTAGGAATCTGTGGATTTGACTTTTTTTCCCTTAAATGTTACTGATTTGATCATAGAGATGATGACAGGAAGTGAGTATTAGCAGGGGAGGTGAGAAAAGGGATTATGTTTCTGACTAGAAATGCCTTGTGGTCTTAACACGTCTGCTGTGAGTGACATCTTTAGGATTGCAGTTTCTTGAGGAGATTTTGTGACTAAATTGAGAATCACCTTTTCCTTACCCACATCTTTCCTATCTCCCTCACCCCTCCCAACAGCTCAGATAGCAAGTAAGACACACCCAACCATAGGTTAATTTTTTTTACCTGTAATAGAATTTTATCAAAATAAATACTTTGCAATATAGCACACATTCCTTGGCCTGCAAGTTTTTGGTGTGAAACAGATAGAGCTCTGGTGTCTCAGTCTTTGAGTGTTTGTCCCTTAATTGAGCAATGAGTAGCTCTTCATTTTCTAGGTATATAGCTTGCATATATATATTCTTTTTTCTTACAGTTTCCTGTCTGTGAGTGTGTGTGTGGTGGGGAAAGTTTTGTTCATATAAATCTGGGAGAATAGAGAAAATGGAGAGTTTTGGAATTCAGATCGTAGAGATGTTTGAGATAAAATGAGAATTCGTCTTAATTTTAATCTTGATGTTTAAGATAAAGGGATTGTAAAGATTTAGGCTACAAGTTAGCGCCATTCTTTTCTTTAGCCTATAGTGCAAAGAACACATAATTACATTTCTTTGTTTTTGAGAATGACTTCTACTTGAATAGGAACAGAGAAAGCTTATTACACTGAATTCTTCTCAACAAGATGCCTTTCTTCTCTGCCATGGAAGAAATATGGAAATAGCTTTATCTGAATAATTCTTTGTAGTGATACGTTGGATTTTCAGACTTTATACTGTTACGTAGTTTTATTAAAGTTGTAGGTAAGTTTAGGATGTGTTATAAGTTTGAGATTTTATTTAATAGCTGGAATATTTAAAATGTAATTAATGTAGCTATTGAAAACCTGTGTTCTAGCCATTGTGAATACGAGGTGATTTTAAGCATAGTCAGTTGGTTTACTGTAGATAATTAGTAACTGGTATTTCCAGGTATTAAACATGGTTCTTTTAAAGCCCTTTCAACAGAAAGACAGAGATAAGGAATTGAACTTAATTAATTGGGAAGCAAATCATCAGGTACACTAGTTTGCTAGTGCTGCCATAAAAAAACACCATAAACTAGGTGATTAGAACAACAGAAATTTATTTTCTCTTCATTCTGGATGATGGAAAAGCCCAAGATGAAGGTGTTGACAGGGTTGGCTTCTCAGGCGGCCCCTTCCTTGGCTTGCAGATGGCTGTCTTCCTGACGTCTCTTCGTGTGGTCAGTTACCGCTTTACATGTGTGCATGCTTGGTGTCTCTTCCTCTTCTTGTCAGGACACCAGTCATGTTGAATTCAGGCCTCACCACAATGACTTTAAGTTAAGCACCTCTTCAAAGGCCTTATCTACAAATAGATTCCATTTTAAGGTACAGAAGGGTGGACTTTACATCTGATATCAAGGGAACACAGTTTAACATGTAACAGTAGGTGATGAAATCAAGAAGGAAAACAGTATTACACGTAATTTTTAAAAATCACTTTTTAAATTTTTATTTAATAAAGTTTGTGTAGAAGTGCAATTGTCCTGTGTTTTTTGTTGTATATCTCCTAGCCGGAGAATTTTCATCCTTGGGCCTTCTCATCATGTGCCCCTTTCTCGATGTGCACTTTCCAGTGTGGATATATATAGAACACCTCTGTATGACCTTCGTATTGACCAAAAGAGTAAGTATATAGAACTCTTAAAGCTTGTAAACAAAGTTTTAAAAAATAGGAATTATGAGTTTATTTTAAATTAAAAGTATTACTTTTGTAATATTTGAATTAAAAAAAAATTTGTTGAAACTAGTCTGCAAAAAACAAAAACTAAGAAAATCTTCCATATGCCTAAAAGACAACTGCAGTTTTTCTGCCAGCCACAAAAATCTGTAGATTCACTAGTCTCTGAACTGTAGTGGTTATATTTATAATCAGGGAAGTACCATGTACTCATTGTACCATCAGAAAAGAAATTGGTACCCACAACAACTTGTTGAAAGATTTTGGGCATGTTAGTCTTCCTCTCTGTATAACAATTCCCTCACTGTAAATGGATAATGAGGATAATGATTTTACTTCCTTGTTTATGGTTTTTATGGGGAAAAATGAGACTGTAGTTGTAAAACTCAGCAAGAAGAGTGCTACATAAATCTTAAGTGTATTTTATTTATAAAACATATCTATTATTTTGATTTTTAAAATAAGATTCCAGGCACCACATTTTTTATTTAGTTGTGTCTCACTTTGTACATTGAATGTGCAAAGTAAAACTTTTCCTGACTTTTGATAGTATTTTTGGAGGAATGATGGGTAAACATAATTTTTAAAATGCCAAACAATATGGAAACTTCTATAACAAACACTCACGTACTTATCATTCACACTTGACTCAGACTTTCCTCTCATCTGAACTCACTTTACATTCCCACATTCCCGAAAGTAACCACATTCATGAACTTGGTGTATATCCTTCCAGTTCATCAAATTATATTTTAATTATGTTGAGTGTTTATTGTTTTAAGAAATTTTTCAGCAAATTCTTTTGTAGAATGAAAGAAGTTGTTTGCAAAGGAAATGGTCACCTCTAGTTAAACTTTAGGCTTAAATTTTCATAATTTTGGGCTTTATACAGTATTAGCATTTTGTTGTTAGGATATAGCTTATTAACAAAACTGAAATATTTCTAACCCTACTCCCTGGAATGGCTTTAGGGTATGTAACTTTTAAATTTTTTAAATGCTTAAAATTTTTTTTCCCCAGTTTTATTGAGATATAATTGACATACGGCTCTATAAATTTTAAAGTATGACACAGTAATTTGACTTTTCATATATCATGAAATGATAAGTTTAGTGAAAGTCATCTCATATAGATACAAAATTAAAGAAACAAAAAGATATTTCTGCCTTGTGATGAGAACTCTTAGGATTTACTCTCAACAGCTTTAAGGTATAACATGCGGCAGTGTTCATTATATTTGTCATGTTGTACTTAACATCCCCAGTACTTATTGATTTTATTACTGGAAGTTTGTACCTTTTTACTACCTTCATCCATGCTCTGGGTCACACTTAATTTGTAAAACCTTATTAGAGCATTCAGAAAATTTTGGTTTTGGGTAGCCTAACAATGAGAATTTTTAATCAGATACAGTTTCATAGAAGAAAAGTCATACAGTTATTTGTTTCTTTCTTTGATATTGGTAAACCCCTTTAAGGATGTAGTTTTAAAAATGCTGGTTCTGTTCAATGATAAAATAAAAATTCAACATATTAAATTTCATTGTTTTCTTGCTATATAATATCTGGTTTTAAGTATAATCCATCAGAAGGGTCTGAATTGCTAAATCATTTTAAAAATTTAAGATTAAGGCATGGTACTGTGGTAAATTTATATTCTAGTCTACCTGACAAGTTTAATTCTTAATATTGAGGACAATAGCATTTTCAGTAGGAATTTTCTGTTCTTGTTATAACAAAATCTGAGGTGTAAAACAATAATCCTATACATTTTATTTAAAAATAAAACAGAACTAAAAAACTGTATTATTAAACCTCATGAGGAAGTAGACTGGGGGATTTTTCCATATTTCAGTAGGAGTTTTGATCAGCCGTTCTTGTTAGTATCTACTGGTTGATTAAGGTCAAGGAAAACTTTAAACTTAGAGGTGATTTTAGATATAATGAAAGGACCTGATGAAAATTTTAAATTATTATTTTTTATGTAACTATGTAACATATGAAAATCATTACGTGTCTGACTGTTTTGTCTTATATAAGAAGCTAGTTGTTTTTTCCTTTTTTTTAAAACTAAAACCAAAGGAGAATATTACGTGGTACTTTTGTCTCTCGCCAAAGCATGTAGTTTTGTGTTACTGGGTAGTCTTACAGCATGAGGATATACATTAATACATTTGTTTTACTATATTTTGAAACCTCTAGTTTACGGAGAACTATGGAAGACAGGAATGTTTGAACGCATGTCTCTGCAGACAGATGAAGATGAACACAGTATTGAAATGCATTTGCCTTATACAGCTAAAGCCATGGAAAGGTATACTAATTAATATAAGAAATCCCAGAGAAATCATGGATATTAATTTCTTTGGAATTATTTTAATTAGGGTAAGATGATCACTAGGATCAAGAGATTTAAAAATTCTTGTTACAGTGAAATAAAGAATTTGAGATTAGATTTTTCTGAATGTGCATTGAAGTTGGTTTTGAGTAGTTTGCCTATGAAGGTTAAATGTATGAAGTGGCATGGTTGTTTTATTAGGTAGAAATATTAAAAAGAAAACGCGTGTGTCTATCTATGTGTTTGTATGTATTGGTTTGCCTGTTATCTTATTCATTATATATTTATTTATCTCAGAATAACAATTACATTCTTTCATGGTATAGTGCTCCAAGTAAGTAATCATAAAATTTTAGATTTGGGAGTAACTTTGGAGGTAATTTATTTCAGCCTTTATCAAAGTATGTGAATCTCTATTATAAAAGCAATTATTATATAGTAATATATAATAAGTGAGATAATCTATATACAACATACATCTCTTATAAAAGAGATCTCTGTTATAAAAAATGCTGACATTATTACTTGGTACCTGCTAAAAGGTCTTTGAGGATAGCATGCTCACTAGACTATAAGTAGAGTGAAGACAGGGACATTTTGTTTTCCACTTATACACCAGTGCCTAGCACAATGCCTGTCACATAGTAGTCATTATTTTGGTAAAATGAAAGAATTGTTTTAAGAGCTTTCTTCTTTAGGGCAGTATTCAAATTAGAACATTTTTCTTTTGAAGGTCACATATCTGTAAGTTTTTCAACCATTTCCTTCATATGGACTTAATACTCCATATGTTTTTAGTTTGATTAGTTCTAAATATGGTGAGATTATTCCTTCTCTGGTCCTCATTACTGTATTCTCCTAGGAAAATAAGTGGTACATCTTAGGTTTGCAGTAAATATTTGTTAATTAAATGTGTTAATGAAGTATGAGATTAACAATTTTTATGCTGATATGGCTTACTTACTATTGTCTGATATATTTGTGGTCAGCTGAAACTCCAAGGATTTTTTACACTGTTAAACTAGATTATTTTCTCCTCTTGTACTTCAGTGGTTGATTTCTTTTTAACCCTAAAAGTGAATGTCTCCTCAGTTAATTTTAATTTTTTCATGTTGGTCTTATTCCATTATTGCAGTTTTGGGAGTCATTTCTGTTCTTAATTCTATTATCAAAGTATTATTTATTTCTCTCAGTCTCATGTTGTCTACATCTTTTCACAAAAATAGCTATAAGGGGTTACATAAGCTGAAGAAGTTTTCAAAAATAGAGTGATATTAAATCATAAGCAGTATAATTTTAGGTTGTGAAAGTGAAAGGCGCTCAGTTGTGTCTGACTCTTTGCGACCCCATATAATTCTCCAGGAATTCTCCAGGCCAGAGTGTTGAAGTGGGTAGCCGTTTTCTTCTCCAGGGGATCTTCCCAACCCAGGGATTGAATGCAGGTCTCTAGCATTGCAGGCGGATACTTTGCCAGCTGAGCCGCAAGGGAAGCCCAAGAATACTGGAGTGGGTAGCCTATCCCTTCTCCAGCGGATCTTCCCGACCCAGGAATTGAACCGGGGTCTCCTGCATTGCAGGCGGATTCTTTACCAATTTTAGGTTAATTGTGTTTTAATACATTCTAATTCTTCAGAAATTTTTAAAGCAGTATAGCCTGTTTACTTTTTTAAATGCTAGTGTCATCAGAGCATCCCATTCTTCAACTGCAACAGGACAGTAAAAGACTTTTGTTCCTGGCTAAAATGTTATTTCAAAAGTAAAACAGGTGTGATGTGGAAGTGTAGGAAAATAGAAATTTGAAACCAGTGAACAAAATTTATGTTTGTAATTTCCTCCCTATTAAATAACATTAAATTACCACTTTTAAGTATATCACTTCTCAGGAAAACCTTCCTTATCTCTCAGATTACATTAGGATCCCTAATACTGACTCTTTCAAAAGTACCCAGTACTTTTCCTTTGTAACCTTTGCTGCAAGAACTCCTTGTGTCACTTAGCCTACAGTTACCTGTATCAGTTATCCTTGACTGAGTAACAAATTGCCTCAAACCTTATGACTTAAAATCATAACTCTTTTATTGCTCACAATTTTGGGGTCAGGAATTTGAGTAGGGAGCACCTTGCTGTGGTCCACAAGACACTGGCTGCGATGATTGGAACAGGCCTTGAGGATCCAAGATGACTTTAGTGCTGACTTTTACTTGAGATACCTCACTTGTTCTCTATTGCCTGTTTTTTTTTTTTTTTTTTTAATCAGCCAGGGCTTTTCTATCTTTTTGGCCTGTCTCTAGAAGGATGGTCTGGATTTCTTTACATCGTGATTCTGGGTAATACAACAAAACCAGAAATTTCTTGGCTTATTAAGGACTAGGCCTAAAATTGCATATCATCATTTCCACTGCATTTTGTTTCCCAAAGGAGAAATAGATACCACCTCTTGATGGGAGGAGTAGCATATGTATACAGGATTAGGAGGAAGTGTTGGCAGGCTTCTTTGTTGATGGACTACCACAGTTCTTTCTGTGGTGGACAATTCATGTTTCTCCAACATGGAGGACATCTCCTAAGATGCCCAGAAATCTCATTCAGTTATGACATCAGGTTCAGAGTTCATTATTTTATCATCTGAATTTGGTTGGGTTGTGGATGAGGCTCCTTGGGTACAGCTCTTTTTGATTTGGATACCACATTGTCCACCCCTCCCCCTCAATATATTTAGTATACAGTTTTGAGACAAAGACAGTTAATCACATTCAGTTCAGTTCAGTTCAATCGCTCATTCATGTCCAACTATTTGCGACCCAGTGCACCACAGCATGCCAGGCCTCCGTGTCCATCACCAACTCCCAGAGTTTACCCAAACTCATGTCCATTGAGTCGGTGATGTCATCTAGCTATCTCATCCTCTGTCGTCCCCTTTTCCTCCTGCCCTCAATCTTTCCTAACATCAGGGTCTTTTCAAATGAGTCAGCTATTTGCATCAGGTGGCCAAAGTATTGGAGTTTCAGCTTCAACATCAGTCCTTCCAATGAACACCCAGGACTGACTTCCTTTAGGATGGACTGGTTGGATCTCCTTGCAGTCCAAGGGACTCTCAAGAGTCTTCTCCAACACCACAGTTCAAAAGCATCAATTTTTC